TTCGGTCACTGGATACCTGGTTGATACCTGGTTGATGGGGTTCTGGGAGTTCTTCTACTCCCCAAGCCCAACCCGAGGCCAGGCTTGACTTGTGAGAGTTTGGTCCACCAGGCTGTTGCTTGGAGCGGCCCGCAGGCCCACATACCCACCACAGCCCGGCTGGTCCGGCACTTCTATTAGAAAAGTCCAGTTTTCTCTTGAAGATGTCCACGGTTGTTCCGGCAATATTTCTTATAGTCGCTGGGAGGACGTTGAACAAACGCGGACCTCTGATGTTTATACAGTGTTCTCTGATTGTGCCTATGGCACCTCTGCTCTTCACTGGTTCTATTCTGCATTTTATTCCATATCGTTCACTCCAGTACGTTGTTATTTTACTGTGTAGATTTGGGACCTGGCCCTCCAGTATTTTCCATCCGGCATTCCTTGGAGGAATAAATCTAGTTGTCTCTCTCAAACAATTGAACACGACTGTGGTGTAACAGCTGGAGGAACCACACCACTACAAGCTCCAGTAATGACCTAGGTCATGAATTACCCCAGATAGCCCAACTCAAACAATCTTATCAGATCAAAAGATAAATCTTGCAACCACAAGGTTAATATTACGATAATAATTCTCTTTGTTACACATGTAAATCTGCATCAATATAAATGGTTAACAAGGCCATTTCTGTTACACACTGCCCCTCCTTAAGGCTTCAGAACAACACCATGTACCCCCCCCCCCCTCCAGTCCAGAACAAAGGTCTCGGCTTTGAGGCAAATATTCACACTGAATGAAGCAAATCTTTTAAAAAGTTAATATATCAGCGACGACTAGGGTTATTTATTTTCCTCGGTCTGGCATGAATGCCAGCTACCTCTACCATCACAAAATAGAAGAAGTAGAACTCCCAGAACCCCCATCAACCAGGTATCAACCAGGTATCAACCAGGTATCAACCAGGTATCAACACGAAACAATAGATATAAAGTGCAGGTAAATACTGTCATCAGAGGTCTGCGGTTGTTCAACGTCCTCCCAGCAAGCATAAGAAATATTGCCGGAACAACCGTGGACATCTTCAAGAGGAAACTAGATTTATTCCTCCAAGGAGTGCCGGACCAACCGGGCTGTGGTGGGTATGTGGGCCTGCTAGCGGGCCGCTCCAAGCAACAGCCTGGTGGACCAAACTCTCACAAGTCAAGCCTGGCCTCGGGCGGGGCTTGGGGAGTAGAAGAACTCCCAGAACCCCATCAACCAGGTACTGGTTTGATAATAGGCTGTTGATTTGTGGAATACATTACCGAGTAACAAAATAGACGTAGGATTGATGGTTTCAAGCGTAGGTTAGACATGCATATGAATGAGTTTAGGTGGATATAAATAGGAGCTGCCTCGAATGGGCCAATAGGCCTTCTATTGTTTTCTTCTGTTTCTACCACCAAGACCAGGGCCATCGCACCGAGCCTATGCAGTCTTCAACAACAGTCAAGACATTCGGTACGCAGAGGGAAATGTCCACGACATACTAAGTAGTCAGAAACTCTCCAAATAATTGTAACGTCCATGGCCAGGTATTCGCATCACTCGCCATTCAACCGCAGGTTACATACAGGTGAAAACAAGACTGAATAAACAAGACTGAAAACAAGACTGAATAAAATTTACTTCACAACCTATCAACAGCCCCTCGAACAATAATTCCATTGAAATGATCAACTCAATCAGCAAAGTACGGTGTAGGGTGCAGTCAAGCCTACTCCCCAACCAGCCGCCGCACCCTCCCCTGAACACAATGCTCAATAATTCCCTCCCCTGAACACAATGCTCAATAATTATACAATAATAATTGATAATAAAAGTATTATTATTCTCAAATACAAACTCAAAAGCGGTCAGGTGACTTTCTCTCTCCGCTCCAACAATTGTTCAATTATTTTGTGTACTTCAATCCGTCCTTGTCATTCGTCACGCCTTGCCATCTCTATTAGTACATCCAATTTCAACTGCCAAGATGCGAAACACTGACCCATCCTCATAAAATATAATTACTTAAAGTATAAGTATTGGGTCGAAAGTACCAATACGTCGTGAGAGTCCAACAGTAAGTCAAGTTTTGTATTAATTAGGAAAAACCGCTGAAGTTTATATATATATATATATATATATATATATATATATATATATATATATATATATATATATATATATATATATATATATATATATATATATATATTAGCATACTAGGGCGCCATTACTTCATAAAACCGCTGAAGTTTGTTTATATATATATATATATATATATATATATATATATATATATATATATATATATATTAGCTTACTAGGGCGCCATTACTTCATATTGGTACGATCGACCACACACAGGTATACACAGTGCTATCATTTCAAGAGGATGGGTTGTAACACACACACACTAACACCACCCCCCTACACCCAGACATACTAACACCACCCCTACACCCAGACATACTAACACCACCCCTACACCCAGACATATTAACACCACCCCTACACCCAGACATATTAACACCACCCCTACACCCAGACATACTAACACCCCCCCCCTACACCCAGACATACTAACACCCCCCCCCCCTACACCCAGACATACTAACACCACCCCCCTACACCCAGACATACTAACACCCCCCTACACCCAGACATACTAACACCACCCCCTACACCCAGACATACTAACACCACCCCTACACCCAGACATACTAACACCACCCCTACACCCAGACATACTAACACCACCCCTACACCCAGACATACTAACACCACCCCCCCTACACCCAGACATACTAACACCCCCCCTACACCCAGACATACTAACACCACCCCTACACCCAGACATACTAACACCACCCCTACACCCAGACATACTAACACCACCCCTACACCCAGACATACTAACACCACCCCCCCCCTACACCCAGACATACTAACACCACCCCCTACACCCAGACATACTAACACCCCCCCCCCTACACCCAGACATACTAACACCACCCCCCCCCCTACACCCAGACACTCCACACACACACACCTCGCAAATGCTTAACAAAAAAATAATCCTCCAAAAATGTGTCCAACGAGATGAAGCCATTAAACACATACTATTCACGCAGTCAATGTCTCACAGGTGAGAGGTGAGGGAGGGAGAGGTGAGGGGGAGAGAGGTGAGGGGGAGAGAAGTGAGGGGGAGAGAAGTGAGGGGGAGAGAAGTGAGGGGGAGAGAAGTGAGGGGGAGAGAAGTGAGGGGGAGAGAAGTGAGGGGGAGAGAAGTGAGGGGGAGAGAAGTGAGGGGGAGAGAAGTGAGGGGAGAGGGGTGAGGGGACGGCCAGCGCCTGCCTCAGGAATGCGTAAGAGTTCCAAGCTGACCTAGCCTGCCCTCACCCCCTAGAGTGGAGCCCTCAGGGGCTGACAGGGGGGAGCCCTCAGGGACTGACAGGGGAGGGCCCTCAGGGGCTGACAGGGGGGAGCCCTCAGGGACTGACAGGGGAAGCCCTCAGGGACTGACAGGGGGGGGAGCCCTCAGGGACTGACAGGGGGGGGAGCCCTCAGGGACTGACTGGGGAGGGCCCTCAGGGGCTGACAGGGGGGAGCCCTCAGGGACTGACAGGGGGGAGCCCTCAGGGACTGACAGGGGGGGAGCCCTCAGGGACTGACAGGGGGGAGCCCTCAGGGACTGACAGGGGGGGGAGCCCTCAGGGACTGACAGGGGGGGGGGAGCCCTCAGGGACTGACAGGGGGGAGCCCTCAGGGACTGACAGGGGGGGGAGCCCTCAGGGACTGACAGGGGGGGGGGGAGCCCTCAGGGACTGACAGGGGGGGAGCCCTCAGGGACTGACAGGGGGGAGCCCTCAGGGACTGACAGGGGGGGGGAGCCCTCAGGGACTGACAGGGGGGGGGAGCCCTCAGCGACTGACAGGGGGGGGAGCCCTCAGGGACTGACAGGGGGGAGCCCTCAGGGACTGACAGGGGGGGGAGCCCTCAGGGACTGACAGGGGGGGAGCCCTCAGGGACTGACAGGGGGGGAGCCCTCAGGGACTGACAGGGGGGGGAGCCCTCAGGGACTGACAGGGGGGGAGCCCTCAGGGACTGACAGGGGGGGGAGCCCTCAGGGACTGACAGGGGGGGGGAAGCCCTCAGGGACTGACAGGGAGAGCCCTCAGGGACTGACAGGGGGGAGCCCTCAGGGACTGACAGGGGGGGAGCCCTCAGGGACTGACAGGGGGGGGAGCCCTCAGGGACTGACAGGGGGGGGAGCCCTCAGGGACTGACAGGGGGGGGAGCCCTCAGGGACTGACAGGGGGGGGAGCCCTCAGGGACTGACAGGGGGGGGAGCCCTCAAGGACTGACAGGGGGGAGCCCTCAGGGACTGACAGGGGGGGGGGAGCCCTCAGGGACTGACAGGGGGAAGCCCTCAGGGACTGACAGGGGGGAGCCCTCAGGGACTGACAGGGGGGGAGCCCTCAGGGACTGACAGGGGGGGGGAGCCCTCAGGGACTGACAGGGGGGGGGAGCCCTCAAGGGACTGACAGGGGGGGGGAGCCCTCAGGGACTGACAGGGGGGGAGCCCTCAGGGACTGACAGGGGGGGAGCCCTCAGGGACTGACAGGGGGAAGCCCTCAGGGACTGACAGGGGGGGGAGCCCTCAGGGACTGACAGGGGGGGAGCCCTCAGGGACTGACAGGGGGGGAGCCCTCAGGGACTGACAGGGGGAAGCCCTCAGGGACTGACAGGGGAGGGGGGCCCTCAGGGACTGACAGGGGCAGGGGGGGCCGGGGCGAGAGGACAGAGAGTGAAGGCCAGGTGATGGTGAGCCAGCAGGCTGGTGGTGCTGCTGGTGTGTAGCAGGTGTGGAGCAGGTAAGGCAGTAGGGCGGGCGGCTAAACATGGCGACCCCCCTTACCTACCCGCCCCTCACACACACACACACACACACACTCACACACACACACACACACACACACACACTAACCTGCACGCTCTGAAGACGCCACACCCGCCGCCGCCGCCGCCAACACTAGCGTAATCCACACTCTCCTCATCGTTCCACACGCACACTATTAATCACCGTACGCAAACACCAGTCCCCCTGGCGGGCAGGGGATCCTCGGGGGGTTATCACACACGGGGAGAAACACCACCACCACCAACCACAGGGGGGTTCACGGGGATACGAACTGTGGCGCCGCGGACACCTCCTCACTCCGACAACTCGCACTGAGAAATGCTCGCCTCAAGACTGCCCGCGCGACGTCACCGACACGCTGCCCGCCCATTGGTCCCGCCCCGCGCTACGTCACCGATAGCCGCCGCACGCCATTGGCCCCCGCCGAACCGTGACGTCAGGTAATCGACCAATAATTCCCAGACCCGCCAAGTAGGAATCGCCCGGCCTGATTGATTTTTCCTCATAGTGACCACCGGTTATAATTAGTGTAAACACTGGGGTTTTGGGAAGCCATATAGGTCATATATTAACAAATATATGACATTATATGTCATCTACATGATATATATGTTGATGCCGCACAATTTTGTCATTATGTAATTATATGTACATGTGGCTATTACAAGTGAGGTGGGAGATACATCAAGAGATGTCACACACCAACCTGGCAGCTATTATAACGACTTAAACGCCTCCCAGAGCACGGATCCAGAAACACACACACACAGACACACACACCTGGAGGAAGCACCCACTGGTAGGTGGTGGCTAAGTGGACAGCGCTCTAGACTCGTGGACGTAGGGACCGGGGTTCGATCCCCCGGCACTGCCGGAAAAACAAATGGGCACATTTTCTTTCACCCTAATGCCCCTGTTACTTAGCAGTAAATAGGTACCTGGGAGTTATTACGCATGTGTGTGTGTGTGTACTCTGGGCTCTGGCTCTTGGGTCCCGCCTCTCAACCATCAATCAACAGGTGTACAGGTTCCTGAGCCTATTGGGCTCTATCATATCTACACTTGAAACTGTGTATGGAGTCAGCCTCCACCACATCACTGCCTAATGCATTCTTATGTTGGCCAGCCTGGCATATGCCGCTGATGTTGTCCTCTTGATATGGGCTGCAGGAGACAGGTCTGGCGTGATATCAACCCCCACGTCTTTTTCTGTCTCTGACTCTAAGAATTTCATCTCCCAAATGATACCTTGTATCTGGCCTCCTGCTCCCTACACCTATCTTCATTACATTTGTTTTGGTTAAACTCTAACAACCATTTGTTCGACCATTCCTGCAGCTTGTCCAGGTCTTCTTGAAGCCTCAAGCTGTCCTCCTGTCTTAATCCTTCTCATAATTTTGGCATCATCAGCAAACATTGAGAGGAATGAGTCTATACCCTCCGGGAGATCATTTACGTATATCAGAAACAAGATAGGACCGAGTACAGAGCCCTGTGGGACTCCACTGGTGACTTCACGCCAATCTGAGGTCTCACCCCTCACTGTAACTCGGCTTCCTATTGCTTAGGTACTTCCTTATCCACTGGAGCACCTTACCAGCTACACCTGCCTGTCTCTCCAGCTTATGTACCAGCCTCTTATGCGATACTGTGTCAAAGGCTTTCCAACAGTCCAAGAAAATGCAGTCCGCCCATCCTTCTCTTTCTTGCTTAATCTTTGTCACCTGGTCATAGAATTCTATTAAGCCAGTCAGGCAAGATTTACCCTCCCTGAACCAATGTTGATGGGTTGTCACGAAGTCTCTTCTCTCCAGATGTGTTACCAGTTTTTTTCTCACGATCTTCTCCATCACCTTGCATGGTATACAAGTCAAGGACACTGGCCTGTAGTTCAGTGCCTCTTGCCTGTCGCCCTTTTTGTATATTGGGACCACATTCGCCGTCTTCCATATTTCTGGTAGGTCTCCCGTCTCCAGTGACCTACTATACGCTATGGAGAGTGGCAAGCAAAGTGCCTCTGCACACTCTTTCAGTATCCATGGTGAGATCCCGTCTGGACCAACAGCCTTTCTAACATCCAGGTCCAGCAGGTGTCTCTTGACCTCCTCTCTCGTAATTTCGAACCCTTCCAAGGCCGCCTGGTTTACTACCCCTCTCCTAGCGCAGTAACCTCACCTTGTTCTATTGTGAAGACCTCCTGGAACCTCTTGTCGAGTTCTTCACACACGTTTTTGTCATTCTCTGTATAACTGTCCTCGCCTGTTCAAAGTTTCCTCTTGTGTGTGTGTGTATGTGTGTGTGTGTGTGTGTGTGTGTGTGTGTGTGTGTGTGTGTGTGTGTGTGTGTCTGTCTGTCTGTGTGTTAGAAATATAAATAGTAGATATAATAGAGGAAAAATAGATTGGTTAGAAAGGCGGGGTCCAAGAGCTAATAGCTCGATTCTGCAGACACAAATAGTCAATACAAGACAAGTGTTAGGGGAGGTTATCTTGAGTTGATTTCGGGGCTTTAGTGTCCCCGCGGCCCGGTCCTTGACCAGGCCTCCACCCCAGGAAGCAGCCCGTGACAGCTGACTAACACCCAGGTACCTATTTACTGCTAGGTAGCTAGGTAACAGGGGTATTCAGGGTGAAAGAAACTTTGCCCATTTGTTTCTGCCTCGTGCGGGAATCGAACCCGCGCCACAGAATTACGAGTCCTGCGCGCTATCCACCAGGCTACGAGGCCCCCTCTTGGAGACATGATTACCACCACAAATTATCTGAAGAATTGTTAGGCTAGATAAAGGCATTTCTTATCACTTTACCTTGCGTTGGTTCCCAGGATCAACGTCTCCGGGGCCCGGTCTCTGACCATGCCTTCTGGTTGGTAATCTGGTCAATCAGGCTGTTAGACGCAACTGCTCGCAGCCTGACGTGTGAATCGCAACCTGATTGATTAGGCATCCTTTAGATTTTTATCAAGTTCTCTTTCTAGCATCATGAAAGGTGGGACAGTTATGTGTAGTGGAAGCGTGTTGAACAGTCTCGGGCCTCTGATGTTGATAGAGTTCTCCTGTTCAACCGTTCTCCCGTGAACTCTGTTGATAGAGTTCAACCCGTTCTCGCACTTGCTTATAGTCAATATCTTGCTTATGAATAAGTGCATATGTGACGTACTAATTTATTGTGAATATCTGAGTTTACCTTGAAAAGCTGAATAGAAAACCACGACCTAACCTAACCTTCTTAGTATGTTAAAATATTACAATTAGTACTGAACCAATACCTATATTGATATTACATTTTTATAAAAATAATAAAACGAAACTAAAATTTTTAAATAAATTGTAAAGTAACTCAGGATATTGTCAAATTTTGTATAAAATCTCTATTGTTTAATAAAACTGAGAGAAAAAGTTAGTGCCTTGAAATAAAATATGGCTTGGAATATGTCATATATGTACTTATTTATAGGCGAAATAGTGACTATAAGCAATAAGTCATATATGTGCTGTCTAACCCACCAACGAGTACCTGTTGTACCTCTGATCTTCAATGGGGGGTATTCTGCACATCCTGCCATGCCTGAAAGCTAAGTGGATAGCACTCCGGATTCGTAGTCCTAAGGTTCTGGGTTCGATCCCATTTGAAGGCGGAAACAAATAAGCAGTTTCTTTCACCCTGATGCACCTGTTCACCTAGCAGTAAATAGGTACCTGGGAGTTAGACAGTTGCTACGGGCTACTTTCTGAGGGGTAACAAAATGGAGGCCTGGTCGAGGACCGGGCCGCAGGGACGCTAAGCCCCGAAATCCTCTCAAGATAACCCCTCAAGAAGATGCCTACTTATCTCATGTGGTGTTATTCCGTGAACAGTTTTAGTCCTATTGTTTTCCAAGTGAAATTTATTATGTGTATCTCCCGCCTGAGCTTTAGAGAATACAGATGCCAACATTTTAAGCGGTCCCAATAACTTAGAAGTTTTATTGAGTGGATTCTAACATTAAAAGGTTTCTGCATGCTCTCCAGGTCAGCAATTTCTCCAGCTTTGAATGGGCTGTTAGTGTGCAACAATATTTCATCTTATAGAGCACTGGTATCATCCGTATCCATCAGTATATGGAGGAGGCCTGGTCGACGACCGGGCCGCGGGGACGCTAAGCCCCGGAAACACCTCAAGGTAACCTCAAGGTAAGGTATCCTTTGTCTAAATTGTTCTTGTTATCCAACTGTCATTTTTCTTGCAGTTATGACACCTACTTTATTATGTTCTTTAGAGGTAAAGTCTTATGAGATGATTAATTTTTTACTTTTTAGTTTTCCAGATCTATATCGTCGTATTGTGTCATTTGACTGCGTGTTACATGTGGGTTTCAGTTTATATATTTTCGTATTTTTTCATAGTGAAGGAGCTGGACTTAGGTTCTTAAACATCATATATTTTCTGTGGCACATGAAAGACCTGATTTACGTCAGTTTGGAGGTTTGCCGTGTCCTCTATGTTGTCTACTCTCATGAAGATCCCTCGTGTCATCTGCAAAGGATGATACAGTACTATAGGTTGTGTCCTTGTCTTTGTCCGATATGAGGATGAGAAAAAGTACTGGAGCAAGCACAGTACCCTGGGGGACTGAGCTCTTCACGGTTGATGATTTCGGATTTTACTTTGTTGACTATTACACTCTGTGTTCTGTTCGTTAACAATTAAAAGTCCATCTTCCTACTTTGTCAGTAGGAAGCTACCTACCTGCTTTGTCAGTAGGAAGCTACCTACCTACTTTGTCAGTAGGAAGCTACCTACCTGCTTTGTCAGTAGGAAGCTACCTACCTGCTTTGTCAGTAGGAAGCTACCTACCTGCTTTGTCAGTAGGAAGCTACCTACCTACTTTGTCAGTAGGAAGCTACCTACCTGCTTTGTCAGTAGGAAGCTACCTACCTGCTTTGTCAGTAGGAAGCTACCTACCTGCTTTGTCAGTAGGAAGCTACCTACCTGCTTTGTCAGTAGGAAGCTACCTACCTACTTTGTCAGTAGGAAGCTACCTACCAACTTTGTCAGTAGGAAGCTACCTACCTGCTTTGTCAGTAGGAAGCTACCTACCTGCTTTGTCAGTAGGAAGCTACCTACCTGCTTTGTCAGTAGGAAGCTACCTACCTACTTTGTCAGTAGGAAGCTACCTACCTGCTTTGTCAGTAGGAAGCTACCTACCTGCTTTGTCAGTAGGAAGCTACCTACCTGCTTTGTCAGTAGGAAGCTACCTACCTACTTTGTCAGTAGGAAGCTACCTACCTGCTTTGTCAGTAGGAAGCTACCTACCTGCTTTGTCAGTAGGAAGCTACCTACCTGCTTTG